AAAAAAAAGACACAAAAAAAACCAACAACAGAAAAACACTTCAACATGTTTCAGCAAACTTTTTTTTTTTTTATCCAAAACTAATATGGATATGTGAAATGAAACAACCAGATTGGGTAAGCCTTGTCTAAAGAAACAAAAACATTGTGAACCTTCAGGAGACTACCTGAAAACCTCTACAGAGCCCTTACTTAACTTATGATGGGATTGGAGCAATTGCTCCAGTTGAACCATTGATACTTTAGCCTTGCTAACCATCAACAAGAGAGTAACTATGGCTCCTACCAACACTTGGAAAATTTACTTTTTTGGAGTACAACTTCCAGAATCCCTCAGCTAGCAACATGCTGCTCAGGGGGAGCTGCAGTCCAAAATATAGAAATTCTCCAAGCTTTCCGCTAGAAAGCAGAGTGTCAAATTCTTGAGATATAGCTTCTGACCATTGCATTAAGGTTGACAAGACAAGAAGATGTTTTAAAAGCAATTCTGGATGGGCTTTTGCAACTGATGGCTTTTAGCAAAAGGGCCATTAAGTGCTGTATTGTTTTAAACTGCATCATTTAACTTTCTAACATCCTTTTCAGAGGGTATATTTTTAATATGGGTAATAATTCAATTTGGTTTTCATGCTGACTTGTTGAATTTTTAAAATTGTATTTTTAATGTGTAAGTAGCCTTTGAATCCCAGGGTGCATCTACATTGTGGAAACAATGCGGTTTAACACCACTTTAACTGCCATGGCACCACCATACAGAATCCTGGGATTTGTAGTTTGGTGAGGCACCAGCACTCTTTGGTAGAGAAGGCAAAACACCTTGTAAAACTAGAAATCCTAGGATTCCGTTGGATGGAGCTGCAGCACTTAAACTGATGTCCAACTAGATTATTTCTACAGTGTAGATGCACCCCACAAGGCAGGGTATAAATAAAGATGTGGAGGATTAGCCAAACCTTGTGGTGACACGAATCCAGAGGCGACAGATGCAGCTGCTGGGCCTCAACTAAGAATCTCTCGTCTCCCGTGGTCATCTCAAAAGGAACTTGTGGAAGACTTCCTGGGTTGGGAGCATCCTTTGGGTCTGGAAGAGGGGCTGGAGTCACACTTTGAGAGAGCCAGCCGAAAAACCCAAAGGAGGGGACAATGAGCAGAAACATGAAAAACGGGAGGACAAAGGCCCGGCAATCTTGGGGTGGCATCTTTGGAGGATACCCTGCAAGTGAGAAAAAAGATGCAGCAACCAAGTTAGGGAAAGAGGAAGGTCACCGATGCAAGCATCCCAGCCAGTGAAAAAATATCATTATAACTATTAACATTATCTGTGTGATGTGTGTCTTCAAGTCTTTTCCAACTTATGGTGAACCTAAGGCAGTGGTGGTGAACCTATGGCACGCGTGCCAGAGTGGGCACTCAAAGCCTTCTCTGTGGGCACGCATGCCATCACCCCAGCATAGAGCATACTAGAAAGCCAGAGGGATGCGGCACTTTGCAATAAATAAGTGGGTTCTGTGTTGCAGTTTGGGCACTCAGGGACTGTACAGACAGCCCTTAAGGGGCGGCGTCCCACCGCCCCTTTCCTTGCCGGATTGTGAACGCTGCGCCAAGGCAGTTCCCTAACACAGCCCACCGTCTGTTTGCATGGGTGGCATGATGGTGGTGTTGGGGCAGCTGGCGTGTGGTCACCATACCCCACTCCACCCCCAGGCTGGCCCTTTTGGCCGGTCTG